CAGAATATTCATTGGAAGAACTGAGGCTGAAGCTGAAGCTCCAATCCTTTGGCCACCTGATGCAGAGTTGACTCATTTGAAAAGACCCTGATTCTGGGGAAGATTGAAGGCAGGGGGAGAAGTGGACGACAGAAGATGATATGGTTGGATGACATCACGGACTCAATGGACATGAGTTTGAGCAAACTCTGGGAGATATTGAAGGACATGGAAGCCTGGCATGCTGTAGTCCATGGAATCACAAAGAGTCGGGCACAACTGAGCGACTGAACAACAGCTCTGAGAGGGACAAACCCAGGAAGGGGCTGATGGGGGTCTCGTGGAACTGTGCCGATTACTCTTCCTGTTCGCCAAGGGCTCACCTCAACGTCACCTCTTCAGGGAAGCCAACGAGGTTTTGGCTGGAGCAGGATCCAGGCTGGGGGCAGGTCTTCAGGAGAGCTGACCCTTCCAGCCGAGGTGCCAAGGAACCTTCCAGACTGGAGTCTGTGACATAGACTTTGGGGACTGCAGTCTGGGCAGGGACTTCTTGGAGGAGGGGCAGGGGCTGGGCCTTGTGTGGGTTCTGACTCCCCTGCGGGCGGAGTCCGGGGACTGAGCCTTCGGGACTGGACCCGGCCACACCCCCAGAGGAGGCGCTGCTAGCTGCTGGGGGCTTCTCTGCTGACCTCTCGTGATGCGGGGCCCCCTGGACCCAGGGTTCAGGCAGAGGCAGGGCCACAGAGGCCTGGAGCCCCAGCTCTCACCCGCTGGCTCTGCCCCACCCCCAGCCCAGTGCTGGGGCACAGGGGCCCACGCGGTGGGGGGGGGTCACTCACTCCAGGGGCTCTTGCGGGCCGATGGCCACAGCTGAGAGCGGAAGACAGCTTTGATGGGGAAGCATGGTGCATAGGCCGCTGGAGGCAGCGTCCAGGCCAGAGGCCTGCAGACAGGAGACCCTGGGGCCCTCAGACAACTGCTGGGGTACACTGTGTGATGGCCATGTCCCCCCGTGAGCAGAGAAGAGGAGGAACAGGGGACGCTGCTCTGGAAACCCTCAAGGAGGTGTTGACGGCCCCAGCTTGCCTGGGACCTGGGGCTTCACATGTGCCAACAGGAACTGTCCTGGACAAGCCGGGCCACCCAGTTATCCTGCCCCTCGGGTTCCTGGAAGCCAGACAGACTCACACTGGGCTCTGACTACAGCAAGGATTGGGGGCACGCTGGGGTGGGGGGCAGCTCGGGCGGCAGAGTGGGGCTGGCACAGTGAGGCTGCAGGCCCCATCTCCAGGGCCCTGGGCTTCTGCAGGAACTGCAGCCTCAAGGGAGGGGTGTCCATCCAGGAGAGCCAGGGGTGAGTGGCCAGCCTCCAGTGGTCTGGCGTGGCGCGATGGTGGAAGGGTTGAAGGGCAGCTTGGAAGCAAAAGACGAGCCTTCCAACTTCCCAAGAAAGCAGGGCTCAGAGAGAAGAGCCACACACGCCTGTGTACCAGTCTGGGAGCAGAGAGGGCCCGAGGCAGGACACATGGTCTGCACGTGCGCCTCTCCACGTGCCCCGCGTGTCACGGCCCCTGAAACAGGCACAGGCCCAGGGGACTTGGAGGGAGCTTGCTCTCTCTCCCAAGGACCACCTCCTCCCATCCTGGGCCCTCATCTCCGGCTAGAAGGACTGCCCCCGTTCTGACCATCCATCCCACGTCCACGTCTCCCGGAACCTCCACCCATCGGGAACTCAGCAGGGAATCCAGGGAGAGGCAGTGAGATGTCTAGGACCCAGAAGAGAAGTCACAAAACCATGCAGCCCTTCTTACCCTAGAGCCCCACCCTGGCCAACCCCGTCCCCTCCCCTCTCCAGGACGGCAGTTTCGGGGAGCCTGGCTATTCAGGTTCCGTTGGGGGCAGCCACGCTGATGGCTCCAGGCGTGACGAGCGGTAGCCGCCCATCTCTGCTCCGGGCGCCCTGGGACATGGTGGGCAGGTTTCTAGGGTCCGTGCTGCCGCCCACCCCTGGGCCTCTGGTTGGTGCCCAGCTCGGGGATGGCCAGGTCTCGCATGCATTTTGCGAATGGAATGCTAGCTACGAGGGATGAGCCAGGCCTCTCTCTCTGCCCCTGCCACCCTGGGACTCAGCCCCACTGGATGAACCGGTGAACACAGGGCACAGGTGGGACACCCCTGGTCCAGGCCTTGATCTGACAGTCAAGGAAGAGGGGCTCTGCAAGGTCACGGAGCCGACAGCGGCTGAGCAGGGGCCAGCCACGCTCTACAGGCAGCCCTGCTGGGCCAGCACGTCCACGGCTTAGCCAGCCTTGACAAGCGTCTCGTCCTCTCAAGCCTCAGCGTCCCCATCTGTGAAACGGTGTGTTTGTCAATCATGTCTAGTGCTTTTCCACCCCATGGACTCTAGCCTACCAGGCTCCTCTGTCCATGGAATTTTTCAGGTAAGAATATTGGAGTGGGTTGCCATTTCCTCCTGCAGGGGATCTTCCCTGACCCAGGGATCAAACCTGAGTCTCTTGTGTCTCCTTCATTGCAGGCAGATTCTTTTTTAAAAAACTATATTTATTTCTTTTTAATTGATTGATGATTGCTTTACAATATTGGTTTAATTTCTGTCTTTCATCAACATGAATTAGCCATGCTGCTGCTGCTAAGTTGAGTCAGTCGTGTCCGACTCTGTGCAACCCCATAGACAGCAGCACACCAGGCCCCTCCATCCCTGGGATTCTCCAGGCAAGAGTACTGGAGTGGGTTGCCATTAGCCATAGGTGTACATAGGTCAGGCCTTCCCAGTGGCTCAGCGGTAAAGAATCTGGCCTATAGTGCAGAAGTCGCTGGAGGTGCAGGTTCAATCCCTGGGTCAGGAAGATCCCCTGGAGGAGGGCATGGCAACCCAGTCCGGTATTCTTGTCTGGAGAATCCCGTGAACAGAGGAACTTGGTGGGCTGCAGTCCACAGGGTCCCAAAGAGTCAGACACGACAGAAGTGACTTAGCAGGCACGCACGTACATGTGCCCCCTCGCTCTTGAAGCTCTCTCCCGCCTCCCACCCTTTCCCACCCCTCTAGGTTGTTACAGAGCCCTGGTTTGAGTTCCTGGAGTTGTGTCGTAAGGCAAATTCCCATCGGCTGTCTAGTTACATATGTATCTGCCTCCCTGCTGCTCTCTCCACTCATCTTACCCTCTCCCTCCCCGCCGGGTCCACAAGGCTGTCCTCTGTGTCTGCGTCTCCATCACTGCCCTGAGGGCAGCCCCGTCTTTCTAGATTCCACATATATGAGTTAATATACGACATTCGTTTTTCTCTTTCTGACTTACTTCACTATGTATAATGGGCTCTAGGTCCATCCACCTCATTAGAACGGACTCAGATGCATTGTTTTTTATGGCTGAGAAGTATTCCATTGTTGGAGAAGGCAACGGCACCCCGCTCCAGTACTCTTGCCTGGAAAATCCCATGGACGGAGGGGCCTGGTGGGCTGCAGTCCATGCGATCACTGAGAGTCGGGCATGACTGAGCGACTTCACTTTCACTTTTCACTTTCATGCACTGGAGAAGGAAATGGCAACCCCCTCCAGTGTTCATGCCTGGAGGATCCCAGGGACGGGGGCGCCTGGTGGGCTGCCGTCTGTGGGGTCACACGGAGTCGGACACGACTGAAGCGACTTAGCCGCAGCAGCAGTATTCCATTGTATGTATGTACCCATGCCTCTTTATCCACTCATCTGTCGATGGACATCTAGGTGCTTCCACGTCCTTGCTGGTGAATAGTGCTGCAGCGAACACTGCGGTACATGTGTCTTTTCCAGTTTTGGTTTCCTCAGGTTATATGCCTAGAAGTGGGATTGCTGGGTCCTATGGTGGTTTTATTCTTGGTTTCTAAAGCAATCTCCCTGCTGTCTTCCGTACTGGCTGCATCAATTTACATTCCCACCAGCAGCACAAGAGTGTTCCCTTTTCTCCACACTCTCCAGCACTTGTTGCTTGCAGATGTTTTGATGATGGTCATTCTGACCAGTGTGAGGTGATATCTCATTATAGTTTTGATTTGCATTTCTCTAATAATGAGTGATCTTGAGCATCTTTTCATGTGTTTATTAGCCATTCATATGTTTTCTTTGAAGAAATGTCTGTTTAGGTCTTTTGCCCACTTTTTGATTGGGTTGTTTGTTTTTCTGCTATTGAGTTGTATCAGCTACTTATATATTTTGGAAATTAATCCTTTGTCAGTTGTTTTGTTTGCTATTATTTTCTCCCATCCTGAGGGTTGTGTTTTCACCTTGTTTCTACTTTCCTTTGCTGTGCAAAACTTTTAAGTTTAATTAGGTCTCATTTGTTTATTTTTCCTCTTATTTCCATTATCCTAGGAGGTGGGTCACAGAGGATCTTGCTATGATTTCTGTCTACAGTGTTCTGCCCATGTGTTCTTCTGAGAGTTTATAGTTTCTGGTCTTATACTCTGGGGCTTCCTTGGTGGCTCAGCGGTAAAGAACCTGCCTGCAGGACAGGAGCTGTGGGAGACGTGGGCTTGATTCCTGGGTGGAGAAGATCCCCTGGAGGAAGGCATGGCAATCCACTCCAGTATTCTTGCCTGGAGAATCCCATGGACAGAGAACCGTGGTGGGCTACAGTCCACAGGGTCACAAAGACTCGGACATGAGTGAGTGACTTAGCACACAGCATGCGTGGTCTTACATTTAGGTCTTTAACCCATTTTGAATTTATCTTTGTGTAGGGTGTTAGGAAGTGTTCTAATTTCATTCTTTCGTATGTAGCTGTCGTGTTCTCCCAGCACCACTTATTGAAGAGACTGCTGCTGCCGCTGCTGCTAAGTCGTGTCCGCCTCCGTGTGACCCCACAGACGGCAGCCCACCAGGCTCCCCCATCCATGGGATTTTCCAGGCAAGAGTACTGGAGTGGGATGCCATTGCCCTCTCTGATTGAAGAGACTACCTTTTCCCAATTGCATACTTTTGCCTGCTTTGTCAAAGATACGGTGCCCATAGGTGTGTGGGTTTATCTCTGAGCTTTCCATCTGGCTCCATGGGTTCAGTCTTCTGTTTTCATGCCAGCACCATACTGTCCTGATGACTGTAGCTCTGTAGCATAGCCTATAGCTTTGCAGTATATTCCTGAAATCAGGTAAGTTGATTTCTCCAGCTCCATTCTTCTTTCTCTCAAGACTGCTTTGGCTGTTTGAGGTCTTTTGTGTTCCCATACGAATTGTGAAATTTTTTGTTCTAGCTCTGTGAAAAATGCCATTGGTAATTTGATATGCAGGCGGATTCCCTCCTGCTGGGCCAAAGGGGACAACGCCAATTCCTCCCTCCTAAGATACACATGCGAGTTTAATGGAGCAATTTGCACGTAAGTTGTGTGGCCAGGGGTGGCTACCTGGCACAGAGAGGGTGTGCTGCCAGCAGCAGCTGGGTCCCAACCAGGGCCACTGCTGAGTGTCGGGCACGTGTGCAGAGGGTTGGACGGCCTGAGTGTTAGATGGAGACCCTCCAGGCACAGCAATCTGCATCCACAGACGCCCCTGGGTGGGGCAGGGTCCTAGCTGCTTGTTATGTAAAGGCCGCTTCATCCTGTCTGACAGTTTATTGGGGAACTGCACATGACTAGGTGACGCAGATGCTTTTGTTGGGGTCTGAGTCACACTGCCAGCCCCTGTCCCTGGGCTTGGAGCAAACGTCCAGGTTTTATTACAAAAGCAGCCAGTGGGGTCCTCAGGGCTTGGCTGGGCCTTGCCCTTCCGCCAGGTCTGGAGGGAGAGACCGACCAGGAGGCTGCTGGCCAGGCACACAGACATGGCCTCTGAGCCTCTTCGGGAGCCACGCAGATGAGAAAGCGAGGCACGGAGCAGTCACCTGTTTTCCTTTGCCCGAGGAGGAGGTGGTCACTCTGCCCAGCTCTGAAGCCCACAGATCTCTCCCACCCCGTACCTGCTGTCATGGCAAGCCTGCCAGCAGGGAGTGAAGTGGCAGAGGTGGAAAAGTCAGATGCCACCAGCAGGAATCCGGGCCCCCCGGCACCCTGCGGGCAGCTGTGGCCGGTGGCCAGATCCCCTGACCCCCCAGCAAGGGCCTGCTGCCTCTCACCTGCCACCTGCGCTCCAAAGTCACGAGGCGCCGTCCTCCTGAGTCCCCCCCTCCTTCCGTCTGCCGCCACCCCAGGCTCCTGGAGCCCTCAGACCTGGCCTCGCTGGGGCCCCCAGCCCCCGGCCTGGGGCCCCGTCATTACCCGCTTGACTGCCTTTCTCACCTCGCTCCCAGGCGCTGGCACCTGCCTCCACCACTCAGACTGCAGAAGCCTGGACCCCCAGCTAGAAACCTCTGGTGCTCCCTCGTGCCTTCAGGATGAAACCAGTCCTGAGCCAGACGGAGCCCCGGGCCCTGCGAGCCAGCCGTCTCCAGCCCCCACCAGGCCCGTGCCCGTCTCCCTCTGCGGGGCACCAGCCGCGATGGGCTGGGAATGCCTTTCCCCTTCCCTGCCTGGGGCCCCCTCCCTTCCCAAGCGCCTCCTCCTCATCTCAGACCTGGAGTGGCCCCTGCTGGGGGCTCCTGCTGGGGGCTCACATCTCCCCCTCATTGCACGACCCCTCCCCCCTGTAGCTGTGGAGGGTCAGGGCTTGTGCGTGCTTGTGGGTGGCTTGGATGCGGATTGCAGTCCTTCCCTGGTGGCTTGCAGGGTTCCCTCAGGGTGTAGGCTTATTTTCGAGTGTGGACAGCTGATGGAGAATGCGGGGCACGCAGGTCCTTCCAAGCTCGCGTCTTATCTGCTGCTCCCCAGTCAGATGCTCCCGCCTGAGGGGCCCGCATGTGCCCACAAGGCTCCAGGCCCTGGCTCCCAGCCCAGAAATGAGAGTTATGATTACTGATTTGGTTGTTGATGTTGTTAGGTGAATCAGAGTTCAGTTCGCAGACCAGGGGTCGAACCCAGGTCTCTGCCAGTGAAAGCGCCCGGGTCAAACCACCGGACCACCAGGGAGCTCCCCAGCGGCGCTTCAGGAGGAAGGGCCGTACGCAGCGGCCGCCCTGACCCTGCAGCGGGCGGCCGGGCGCAGGCCTTACGGGGGGCTCAGGCCAGCAACCCCGGTGGAGGGGCGAAGGCAGGGGCCCTGGGGTGAGGCCTGGCCCTGGTGGGGCACCCTGGTGGGGTGACGGGGCAGCGGCGGAGGAGGGAGAGGGGGGAAGGGAAGGGCAGGGGTCGGGGCCTGGGGAAGCGGGGAGGGGAGAGGACGGGAGGCCGGCAGGGCCCTCGCCTGGGGTCTGTGCGCTCTTGGTCTCCCCCCTCCCCGCCCCTGCTCCCTAGCTCCCGCCCGGGCCTGGAGACAGGAGAGGCCCGAGCACTATTTCCCACTAAGGTGTGAGTGACACCTAGGGGTGCTAGGATGGTTTTGAAACTGAGGCTTCCCCACTCCACAGACTTGACCGGGCCACCCTGGGCAGACCCCCACCCCAATCTTAGACTTGAGACTCGGGGGTCACAGGGGACGAGACCCTTGTCCAAACCACCCACAGGGTGAGGAAGGGGCGAGGTGGGCGGGCGAGGGCGGGGGCGGCCTGGGGGACCGCTGGGGTCCGTGTGCGCCGGGGCGGGCTGCAGCGGACGGCGGTGCCGCCAGTGGACACCAGGGGGCAGCAGGCCTCCAGTTTCGGGCCTCCGGCGGCGGAGGCACGGTGGGGAGGGGCCGGAGCCCGGCCCGGGGCGGCCGCTCCCGGGGAGGACGGTCCCCCTCGCCTCAGCCCCTCTGACGGGGCCACTGTAGGGCGGGGGGGCGTGGGGGGGGGACGGGACAGACACCCCTGGCGCCGCGCGCCCGCTCTGCCCAGCCCCGGGCTCAGGGGAGGGCCGGCTTTCACCTCCTGACCCTGTCCTGATCAGCTGCTTTGCTCACCTTGGAAACTCGCCCGGGGGGAGCTGGGGAAACGTGAAGACAGAGTGGACGGGGGAGGGGGCGGGTGGCGAGGGCGGCGGCGCCTCCTGCATCTTGCCCTGACGGGGGACGCCCCGGGGCTGGCGCCCCAGTACGGGGTCAGCACTAGTGCTCAGCGGGGTCTCTGAGGCCCGGAACCCCCTGTCTTGTTGGGTGACTGCAGACCAAGTCCTGCTGGGGAGCCGGGGGGCCAGGTGGGACGCACTCACACCTCCTCCCTGGCATTTCAGCTGCTCCTAAACCAGGTTGGGTAGGGGCAGCAGGGTGGGAGGTGAGTCCCCGGTGTCCCCGGGTGGACAGAAGATGCTCACGGGGACCCCACTAATTCAAGAAGATAAGACAGGAAGTGGGGGGGCATGGTGGGCGTGAGGGCTGTGGATGGGGGCTGTTTATTCCCGAGGCAGGACCGTCTGGTCTGTCTCCTGCGGGTGAGGAGGAGGGGAGCCTGGTGGGACTCAGAGCTGACCACAGAGGGGTCTGAGGTGGGCCCTGGGACCCTCCTCCGTGCCTGCCCTCTGCCCCAGGCCTCCTCCTCTGCCCTGGGAGGCTCTGTCTGGAGTCACTCGGGTGACCAGTGGTCCAGGGTCTCCAGGGTCTCTGGCTTCTGACTGAAGCCAGAAAAGTCCTCGGCAAGGTGGGACGAAGGGGTCCCTCTGCTTGAGACCCTGGGGAGAGCGCAGGGAGCCGCCCCGGGCTACTTTGGAGTTGGGGATGGGGCACTCTGGGGCCCTGGGCTGCTCCTGTTCCCGCCACTCCCCCTCCCTCGCCCCCAGGGCTGCCCAGTCCTTCCGCAGATTCGGGGGAGGGGGGCGTGAGGACCCCGGCCCGGACCCCCAGCACAAGGCCGCCCCTGTAATCGGAGCTTCGGATTCGCGTCGAGCGGCTTGTGGACGCGTCAGCGGAGGGAGGCCGGCACCTGCGGAGGACGTGCCTGGCAGCGGCCCGAGAACAACCCGTCCTGGGGGGGCCGGGGGCGGGGCGAGCCGAGCGCGGGAACTCGGTGCGGGAGGGACGGCTCGGCCGCGCGGGCGCTGGGCGCCGGCCAAGTGCGCCGGGAACCCTCCTGAGCAGGCGCGGGCGCCGGGTCTGGCCGCCCATCGCTGGGGGCTGGCGGTTAATCTGTAACTCTCCTACCCCTTGGAGGCCCCATCTTATAGAGGAGAGAAGGTGAAGCTTAGAGGGGCCTGCGGGGCCGGCCCGGGGCCTTGGTGCTGTTTGCTGCTGCATGATGCGCCTTGATGCCCCAGGCACGCTGCGTGGTCTTGTGGATAGCCTTGCCTGGTGGGCGCCAGGTGGAAAAGCTAAGACCTACACAGGGGAGGAAACATGACCGAGCAGGAGTATGGTCACCTCCCTGGTGGGATGAACCCTAGGGGTCAGCCATCCCTGGGCAGGGCTTGGGAGGGATGTCAGGGGGAGGGGAACCTGGGGGCTCTTGACTTTTCCTCTCCTGCTTTCCTGCCTACCAGACCCTCATAGGAGTCCAGGGGGCTGGGCCAGGGGCATGAACCAGCTGCCCTTGAGCGCTGGATGACCACAGGCAGTGTGCTTAACCCGTCTGAGCCATGGGCTCCTCTCTTGGAAAATGGGCAATGAAACACCTCCCTCTGCAGGTTCTGGAAAGGGTTATGAGGCAAGGTGCCCAGCCAGGGTGCAGGGCAGGCTGGAGGGCCCTGGTGTGGTCAGGGTTCGCCGTGTCCCTCCAGACTTCTCAGATGGGGCGCCACTCTGGATAGCAGTTGGGGAGCTGCTGGGAAGGCACAGGCACAGACAGGCCCAGGAGAACTGTGGGGGGGGGTGAACCCCCAACACACACTGGCCCTGTGGGCCTCCAGGAGAACTGTGGGGGGTGAGCCCCCAACACACACTGGCCCTGCGGGCCCCCAGGAGAACTGTGGGGGGTGAGCCCCCAACACACACTGGCCCTGCGGGCCCCCAGGAGAAGGGGGCTTTGGGGCAGCTAGAGAGGCGGCTGATGGGGGACTCGGCCAGCAGGGGGCAGCATGCGGCTGCAGATGGTGTTTTCCGGACACCAGGGACCCGGCTCCCACTTAAGCCCGGAAAGGCTCCCTCTCCTAGACTCAGCCTCCACAGCTGTAAACAGCCCACAGTCCCCATGCCTGCCTGCGGGGCTTTGCAAGGACTAAACCCCACCGGGGCCTTGACCACTGTTAGCTGGAGCAGGCCCTTGAATCTTCCCCAACCTTCACTCCTCGTCTAGAAAGTGCCCACCGGGGTATACCCGGGCCATCTATGCGGGTCGGGGGAACCAGTGTCTGTCACAGACACCCCTCATTTTTACAGTGGCTGAAGATGCTATAAAAGTTCATTTCGCACTCCCAAGATGGTCAGGTGGGTGTGCAGAGGGCGCTGCTGGGGCTGGGGGGGTCCCACTCTGGGTGGGCTTTCGGGGCTCCTGCCCCCTGCAGCGGGGAGGCGGGGAGGAGGAGGATTGCCCTGTGGGCCTGGTGGGGAAGCGGCCCCTGCCCACGTTCCGTAGCACCCTGGCCGCTAAGGGCTGGGGGAGAACCGCGTGGTTCAGTGTGCTCAGAGAAGGCAGAGGTCTGGTGAGCTCATGGCTTCTCCTGTGCCCTCCTCGGTTGGCCGAGGGGCGAGCTACAGCGATGCGGGATGCAGCAGGGGGCCTGGTGCTTAGGCCTGCCCCCCCCCACCCCGGCTGCAAATAGGCTCTGCTCCCCTCCCCTCTTGCAGGATTTGGGGGCTAGAGTAGCCACACCCCTCCTGGTTCTGATGTCTGCACAAACCTTGTTCCTTTTCGCTTGCTTTTTTCCTTCGGCTACATTTTTAATTACAAAAGTAGAGCCTGGATGTTGTGCCTAGATAGATGCTCGCTCTCAGAGGCTGTGGGCCTCTTCTCAGGGCAGAACTCAGCTCCTCCCCCCCATCTCAGGCTCAGGGAGGGACCTAGCCCACTTCTGGGACCAGCAGGTTCAGTAGGCCAGAGGGTACCACCCTGGATCAAATTTGGGGTCCCAGACTCACAAAGTCACCTCCCTGAACTAACAAGGCGGCCCAGAGAGGAGGTGTCCCAGCAGCCCCTGGAGAAGTATTAAGTAAGAAGTCAGAAGACAGGCGGTGGGGCGGGTCTAAACCCTGCCTTGCGGCCCGGGCGGCTCACCCAGGCTCTCTGTTCCCTGTCCCGTAGGACAGGTGGGGCTCAGTCAGGGGGCCACGGAAACCGTCCTGCCCAGGGCTCAGCTGCCCGAGGCTCCACGGCTGCGGCAGTGACCTGGAGAGATGCCACACCCACCCCTGTCCGTGGAGACCAGGCTCCGAGTCACAGGCTGCTGGTCTTGTCACTGTGGAGGCCCTGGGGCCCACCAGCTGGACTCAGCTGGCACCCATGGAGGTGTCCTGTGTGCCCCGGAGGGGCTGGGGCAGCCCTCCTACGCCGTTCCCTGGACGGTGCATGCAGAGGGCGGGTCGCGTGGAGGCCTGGTTTACTGCTGGCTCCCGGTAATCTACGAGGAGCGTGCTGGGTCTCCCGCCCTGTGGGGCCCTGGGCGGACAGGTGCTCACACCACAAGGCAGTCCCCGGGGGTCCAGAGCGGGGCTGGGAGGGTGGCAGCTTCTCTCTTGTCGGAAAGGAGACAGCCTGGAGACAAAGCCTGGTTGGCCCTTCCCTGGCCTGCCTTCCTGGGTGGCTGGAGCTGGGGCATCCTGACCCGGTGGGAAATCCTCGGGGCGGGGGGGACGTGGTTCCATGTTGTGTGTTCACTGCCCGCTGTGGACTGTGCATATGGCCTTTGGGAGGCTGGCGCAGCCGTGGCACTCGGGTGGGGCGAGGCCCAAGCTGGGAGACTCGAGCCCCGCCCAAGGGATCCACAGGACCAGGGCAGCCTTTGTCATCTTGTTTTTATTTTCCCGGAAGGTAAAAACTTGTCACATCTGTACTTGCTGTGGGAAATCTGGACTCCAGTGTACAAAAAAGAATAAAGAAATGGACACAAAGCATCAGCTTTGGTCCTGCTCTCCAGAGCCAAGGGTGGTGACCTGCCCTGTCCCGCAGCTGGGTGGAGGCCCCTCCTTTCCAACCTTTCCTCCCCTGAGCTGCCTCCAGG